TCACCCTGAGGACAAATATCGGAAAAAATTCGGGATAAAATGACAAAACTATTAGGCTTTACAGAGTCCATCTGATATCCATGAAGTAAAGATAGTTCACTGATTATTTTAAGGACATCCAGACAGGACTTAGATAGGTCTGCATGGAATCGGTCCCATGAGGCACGGTCGCCATAGACTGGGACGCCCACTGGCAAGATGTAGAGACGAATGGTGGAATCTAACCAATGAAGCGTTCTAGCCAAAAGGCCGTGAGAGATACGAGTTTCCCGTTGCCTGGAAAAGAGACTGACCAGCGTTTGGCAAACCGCCATGGACGCAGGCCCACGGACAGTGAGAAGGCACTGCTCCAGAAGAAAAGACAATGACTGCTCATCAAAAGCCAAAGGAATGCTGGACCGGAACGTTCTGGTTAGAAGGATTAACAGATCAGAGCAGTAGTGTGACCAACATACTCTCCTCCGCAAAGTCGCCAGAAGTGGAAAGATTAAGTCGACAAAAAGACGGTGCTGTTCATTGGCAGACAACATGACCTTCTGTGAAACTGATGAGGGGAAGGAAGAGCAAAGAATGGTAAATATCTCGGCAAGGCATGCGGTGATGTGGGCTTGAGCACTTGATGAAAGCTCGAGGTTTGAGATACCCCCCGCTAGAGGTCCCAGGTGAGTAAGAACATCGAGAGTGACGATACATCCGCGGTCGTGCGACGTAATGTGGTGAAGGGCGCCAAGGAATTGATGAGACACAGGGAGTAGGGTAGAGTCCTGTAGGGTTTGCAAACAGTGATAAAAGAACTGAGCTCCAATCTTTGTCGGTACGTATGCAGCAAAAGAGGCCAAAAAGTCGATAAATTGTTTCATAATGGAACGCAGTCGGGCGCAGGTGTCTTCGGGAAGAGCGACGTCTATGGGTGATTGAGCAAGAAGTTTGAATAAGGGGTACAGTGCATCAAAATGTAAGTCCTCGATATCTTCTGCAGAAGTGCTATTCTTCGAACACTGTAAAGAGTGAGTGAGCCTTGAGAGGGGTCTGAACTGCACTTCAAAAGCCTAATTGAGGGAAATAACTTCAGCGATTAACACAGCGCATAATGCAATATGTAATCACATTACAAGGGTTACTAAATTCCTAACAGTATATACACTAAAGCAGATTGTATTTTAGATTAGGACTACTAGGATTCAAGGAACAAATGTTATGTGCCAAAATAAACATTTTTAGTCATTGGTCGTATTAAAAAAATAGCCGCATGAAAAAGTGCAGGACGAAAAAAATTGAAATTTAAAAGGTGCGGAATAATTGAGCTGACCCTATCTCAATGAAGAGGACGTGAGAATAATTTACTAAAGAAACTATTACTAAGAAGCACAGCAATGTGCAGTTTCTTTTGAACAACCAACTATGCAGAAAAATAGATGGTGTTGCTATGGGCTCGCCTTCTGGACCTTTCTTAACAGATACCTTCACAAGCAAACTGGAGAAATTTCAACTAAGCGATCAGATTAATAAGATAAAACACTACGATCGCTATGTTGACGATAATTT